ATTCAGTTACTAAATATAAAATATTTACAAAAAAGGAAAAGAAAAATAAGTATTAAGAACTTATAACAAAAAATATTATTATAAAGTAAATATAGTGTTGTAGTGGTGAACTTGGATATTTAAATCGGGATTAGTTTTATTAATGTGTAGAGCTTCCTTGATTTTGAGTGAGAAAGTGGATTGATCAGTGTCGATGATTTTAAAACAGGAAGGTGAGAATTTGTTTTACATGAAGGAGAGGCTTGAAGATGTTTGTAGATAGTGGAGTTTTGTCTGTGTGAGTATGTTCCTTTATCCTGGTAGATAATTGGCGAGAAGTTTCACCACTATAGCAGGAATTACATCCCGCACATGAAAATTGATAAACTACCATAGATTTGGAAAGTTCGGGAAGTGGGTCTTTAAACGAAAATAAAGATTTTATTTTAAAAGGTGTGAAAATAAGTTTAACGTCAATGTCAGTGCAGTAGCGTTTAATGATTTGTGTGAGTTTGCGTTGTGTGTGTCGTGAGTAATCACCTATGTAAGGTAGTTTGAAATAACGTTTATTGTCAGGTTGTTGTATATCGTTAGTGTTAGTTGTGGAGTTAGATGAGTCAGTGCTTTTCTTGTTGTCCAAATAGTGTTGTATAGTGTTGTTGATGAAATGAAAAGGAAAAGAATTACGTTGGAGAGTGAATATTAGTTTCTTTAAATCACGTTGAAAGCCGATGTCTGTGTTGTTGAGTTTCCGTGCTCTGTCGGTCAGTGTTCGTATCAGTCCAATTTTGTAATTTAATGGTGTGAAACTAAAAAAGTTAGTAGTCCTGTATATGCTGGTTTGTGGTACGTAGAGGTCATACAGTTTTCATGTGATTTAGTTAGTAAGATGTCAAGAAAGGGTAACTGATTGTCTTGTTCGGTTTCGTATGTAAAGTTTATGCTTTGATGTTGTTTGTTGATGTATTCGTAAAAGAGTAATGCTTCGTCTTTGTTATGAAAAATACAAAAAATGTCGTCAACGTATCTGCGGTAAAATAAAGGTTTGTTGTTGCTGTAGTTATTTAACCAGTTTCGTTCGTGAAAACCCATGAAAATGTTGGCTAGAATGGGTGCCAAGGGTGAGCCCATACTTACCCCGTCAATTTGGTCGTAGTACTTACCGTTAAATAAAAAATGAGTCTCGGCCGTAGTGATGTCAAACAATAGTTTTAGTTCTGTTCTGTTAATTTTGAATGTAGGGTTGTTGGTAAAAATTAAAGCAATAGCAATGTCTATGGTTTCGGTCAGTGGTATGTTGGTAAAAAGGCTTTCAACGTCAAAATTATTGTCATTGACTATCCATGATACTGTTACGGGCATTCAGCGTTCTGTTTTCGTTGAATGACGAACTTTGCGTTGATCAATCTTTTATAGTAAATCCTCAAGAAAGAAGGAGAAGACCGTGGGGCCCGAAGCTACAGATTGTTAAACCATTAGAAGGTAAGACCTATTGAATTTTTATAAACTCGAGTTATGTAAAACGTGCAATGTTAAGGTGATACAGCATTCATATATAAGGTATAAGAGAAAAATCGTTTTAGTTAATATGAGTTTCATAGTTAGCATTTATTATATCAAATTAAACATCTTAGCTATGGAAGTCATGTTTAACTTCTTTTTCAGGGTCTGTCACTTTGCATAAATGGCAGTCTTTAGCCAATCCTACAATGAGTGGTCTCAATAGTGTTGTACCTGGTGTACACGTTAAAGGTGAAGTGGCTACGAAAAACCCGAAGGCAAAGAACGAAACAAATCCAGCCAGCAGCTCGAGTGAGCTGGAAACGAATTTAAATGATAAGAAACACGTGACTAACCAGAACGCAAAACATGAGAATGCATGTTAGCTCACAAGATGAGACGACAAATCTTACCCGTGATTCTACAACAGATCAGAAAGCAAGTGTGCCGAACATAACTCCAGACACAGATACAACGGTGAATGTCCCCAACCTCCAATATTGAAACATCCAGTAACAGTGGAACGTCAAATCTTGCTGAAATCGTAAAGTCAAAAATTTCATCACAGAGTATGTTGCCACCATCTATAGAAACATATTCGATGCTTAACTCACTGATTCGTAGCACAATCGCAGTAAGTTCAGAATACTCTACGTCGGCCCCTATCACTACTACGGCAAAATCATCTTTTGTTACCGTAACAACGACAACAACATCAACTTCTACGTCGAGCGTTAGTTTTCCTCGACCTCTTCATTTAAGAAGTCGAAGTAGCGAGAATTTGTTGAGCATGATTGCACCGTTCAATCAACAGAATTCTTCTTCAACAAGTAACGAAAGTCCAGGTTCAGTGCCTTTTCGTCGGCAGTCAGGTGCTCTTGGGCTTAGTAATATAGTTGGGGGATTGGTTAGGAGTTCCAGTAGCGAGAATTTGTCAGCCTCTTCAGAGGGTCTTGATTTTTCACGAAGTTCCGGTGGAAATGGTAAGCTTAGCGACTTTCTAAAGAACTCGGACATTGCGCAAAATTTAGGGAAAGCGTCCAGTATGGACTTGTTAACGTCGTCAGGGGTTGGCAGGCAAGGTAAAAAAGCATCTCTTCACCTTGGAGATTCATCGCCTTCCGCAGCCCAGCTGGAAATGATGGGCGACTTGGGAGGATTTGCTTTAATGAGCGGTGGAGGAAATCCAAGTCCACCAAATGAAGTCGCGACGCCACCAGCTATGTCTGTGTTCAATGCATTCTCTAGTATTGGTGGTTTCTTTCGAAGGCAGCGTAGTAAAAGTATGGATAATCTAGGTCCTTTACCACCCAGTGTTACGGCAATAAAACCCAATAACTCTGGACGAAGAGCAACAATAGAACGTAGTTTGGAGCGATTTGATCAGACATTTGGACCAGATTGATTGTAATACTTCTTGATAGGTCAATTTTTCTTGTGGCAAAGTTAATTGGCGGCATGGATGTTCATAGTCTACATGTCGCATTTTATGGCAGTAATTAGAAAAATATTCTGCTTTCAACCATTTTCATGTGTGGTAGAGTTTCGCATCAATATTCTTAAAACCTTGATGTACTAAGTGGCGTATGAATATAAAAATGTTTATAGTGATGTATAACTGAATATTATTTAATAAGTTAACAAGATATTTAATATTATATTATATAGCCAAGGAATATTTACAGTCAGAGAATTACGTTGAACTCTACGGATATAGAATGAGATGTGCTTCTAAGAGGAACATTATTCTCTTGAGTTTCAACCATTGGCTAATTCGATGTTGTCGTAGGTGACTGTGAGTCGATAAACTAACTGAAATTGTAATTTTATTGCTGCAAAAAATTTTATATATCTCATTTTGTTTTACAGTTGTAATATTAACACGACTTGCAGACGCCCAGTTACGTTAGAGGAAGCTTATAGTATCCCAATGATGTAAGTGTTAACCATGGGCTCAGATCATCATGACCAATTAAAATGCAGCATTATGTTTCATGTATTTGAAAATTTTTGTTTAGTGAACGTCAATACAAACGTTAACGAATATCGAGAAATCACGGCATTGTATTTAAATTTTGCCAACAATACTTTACTCAGAAATTGAATAAAGCAATATGAAGTATACAGAAGAAGACTTAAAGGGAATGAAAAGAGCAGATTTGCAAAAACTATGCAAGAACATTGGCATCAAAGCTAACATGAAGGTAGAACCGTTGTGAAATATTTTATTTACTGTATTAAATCCTGTGTTATTATTATTCTGTACAAAAATGATAGTTCTTATCCCAAAGCAAAATACACGTTGTAGAAGGAATAGTTGACAGTGATGCCATGAGTGATTGTTCCAATTTTTTTCATCAAAATTATGGCTTTTTAAATTAAATTGCAATAATCTTAAATATTGAAATTTGTAACAACGTTGTTTCTATAATTTCAATTTTTAAAAGATTTATAGTCCTGGCTTAAATTTCTACGTAGTGTGAGCAGTAAACACCCTCTAAAGCCATGTTTACATGAAACTCAAATAATATTGAACCATAGTGTTTATTTCTATCATAGTATGCATTATAAAACATGTTGCACCAGGGGCGGATCTAGGATTTTTCAAACATCAGTCATAAAACGTCGGAGGCACTCCGCACCTGGAGGGGGCCTGAGGCATTCACCCCTGAGAAATTTTGAATTTCAGAACCTTAAAAATGCCATTTTCAGCGTTTTAGAACAATAAAAAATGTATTTTGTGGGCATCGTTTTTGCGTAAAAACAACACATTTTTTGCTTACATTTTTTTCAAAAAAAATGAAGTGAACAATACTTGAATGTTTTGCCAAATATTTAGGCTCATTATCATGCCAAATATATGGCTCATTAGCATGTCTAGGAACGTAAAATTTATTTTACAATAATGCTATTCAAAAACAGATATAGTCTTTAAAAATTTCTACCAAGTTGTCAGGCATAGACCCCCCTAGAGACCCCCATTCAAACTTCTATGTAATGAGTTAAGTTAGAAATTTGGTACTACAAGTGACAGTTCATAGATATAGAAAAGCTCAGACTTCGAACCATGCAAGTTTATTGTAATCCTTTACCCATCTCCACATCAGTGCCAGCAAATTCACCTTTTCAGAAAAAACTTGTAGTGACGTACATAACGTGCGTACATCACTCATCTAGATTCGTGTATTAGCAATAGGAAATAGCCAATCCTACACTTACTCAAACGCGCTACTTAAACTTACGCACTTAACTTTATAATTACGTAAAACTACTCAAGTTTCAAGTACATTATCCGCTGTGTAATAACTGCACCTTCTTTAACCAAATGTATAAAAAGCCTGTAAATAAATTCTAACAGATAGAACTCTCACGACTGTTGTAAATAACTTCTTCGCTAGTGAATAAAATAATCACAAAATTTAATAGCGTTCTAGTATATTGAACTCACGTTCAGAGCTCATACGAAAGACTTATATATAACGCTAAATTGGTGACCCCGAAAGATATTCTTGACTGGCGAAATGGCTACAACTGATGAACTCAACACCTCTTCAACGACAGATTCTTCACCTGTCACATCAACCGCTTCTATGCTCAGCATCATCAAACTTCCACCATACTGGCCTAACGATCCAGAACTTTGGTTTTCTCGAATTGACGCTCAATTTACGACACGCAATATCACCTCACAAAAAACGAAATACGCTTACGTTGTTGGTTCCCTTCAACCCGAAATTACTCAGTAGGTTCGCGATATCATCCTTCATCCCCCAGCTCGTGATCCATATGACATCCTGCGACGCGAGTTAATCCACCGTACCTCAACATCTGAGCAACAGCGACTTCACCAACTGCTCACAGGCGAAGAACTAGGAGATCGGAAGCCTTCCCAACTCCTTCGCAAGATGGAACAACTACTTGGTAGCCAGACATTGCCCCCCTCCATCATGAAACAATTATTTGTACAACGTCTCCCTACCAATGTTCAGGCTATTCTGGCACCTACACAGGACACTCTTGACCTCAACAACCTTGCCAAGTTGGCCGATAAAATTAGAGAGGTCAACAACATTCAACAACCCACAGCCACCCTTTCGACCGTGGCAACAGAACCTATTATTGACACATCTGCCAAATCTGGGGAGCTTCATCAACTTCGCAAGACAGTTTCTGATCTTGCTGCGTCAGTACAGGCTCTCAATCTTCGTTTCCCTTCATCGTCAGATGTCAATAACCGTCCACCACGCCCTCGTAATCCGCAACCGACTGATCCCACTCACAGATCATCTAATAATGGTTATTGCTGGTATCACGCCAAATTCGGCGCCACTGCTCGCAAATGTGTTCAACCTTGTACTTTCCACACATCGCTACCGTCAAACTACAACGCCAGACAATAGACGCGGCAACATCGTCTGGCGCTTCAACACAAAGCCGCTTATTCTTCATTACCGATCAGACCACCAAACGACGATTTCTCATCGATACAGGTGCCGAAGTTAGCGTCATCCCACCACTTTCCGCAGATCGACGACAACGCCAAGCTTATGACCTCCAGGCAGCCAATTCCTCTACAATTGCTACCTACGGCAAGAGGTCAATCACCCTCAACTTTGGACTCCGCCGACGCCATTTTCAATGGATCTTCACCATTGCTGACGTCCGCCAGGCCATCATTGGAGCTGATTTTTTGCGCCATTTCAACCTCCTCGTCGACCTTCGCTCAGGAAGTCTCATTGATGCAGAAACACACATTCGAGTCAATGGAATCGCCACATCAATGCCTTCTCTTTCTCTTGTTCATGCTACACAATCCTCCACACCTTTTGCATCAGTATTACAAGACTTCCCAGAGATCACTCAACCCACCACCAAAGAAACACCAGCGAAACATCAAGTAGCACACCAAATTATCACCAAAGGTCCCCCATGCTCTGCACGTCCACGCCGTCTCCCACCTGATCGTATACACATTGCGAAAAAAGAATTCCGACAAATGCTTGATCTTGGAATCATCCGCCCTTCCAGCAGTTAGTATGCCTCTCCTCTCCACATGGTTCCCAAGCCACAACCCGGTGACTGGCGACCCTGTGGTGACTACCGTGCGCTTAACCGAATGACTGTACCCGATCAGTATCCCGTTCCACATCTTCAGGATTTCTCTGCCAATCTCCACGGTATGACTCTTTTTTCTAAGATTGATTTAGTCCGTGCTTACCATCAAATTCCGGTCGCACAAGAAGACATCTGCAAAACAGCTGTCACGACACCATTTGGTCTTTTCGAATTTACCCATATGCCTTTTGGTCTCCGTAATGCAGCTCAAACATTTCAACGTTTCATGGACGAAGTCACTCGTGGCCTTGACTTTGTATTTGTTTACATTGATGACATACTAATTGCTAGCTCTAACACCTCCGAACACGAAAAACACCTCCGCCTTCTCTTCACTCGTCTTCGTCAGTATGGTGTTATCATCAATCCTCAAAAATCTGTTTTTGGAGCAACATCTCTTGACTTTCTTGGTCACATGGTCAATGCTAACGGCATCCAACCTCTTCCCCAAAAGTCTATCCGCAATTATCCTCAACCGGATTCTCTCCGCAAGCTCCGCGAATTTCTAGGTCTCGTAAATTTCTACCGACGTTTTATTCCGCACTGCTCTGGTATTGTTCAGCCTCTCACCGATATGCTGGGCACATCGGATTCTCATAAGAAATCTCAACCTTCCAAGCTTGACTGGTCTGATTCTGCTACATCAGCATTCAAGAAAATCAAAACAGCATTGGCAGATACGGCACTCTTGGCTCATCCACAACCCAACGCCGCACTTTGCCTTATGACCGATGCTTCAGACGTCGCTGTAGGAGCTGTTTTACAACAAAAAGTGAACAACATGTGGCAACCACTCGGTTTCTTTTCTAAACGCTTACAACCAGCAGAGACTCGCTACAGTGCTTTTGGTCGAGAGCTTCTTGCCATCTATCTTGCCATACGCCATTTTTTTCACCACCTTGAAGGACGAACTTTTTATGTTCTCACTGACCACAAACCTGTGTGCTATGCCTTGCATAACAATACCAAACGCCACTCTCCCAGAGAAATTCGTCACCTTGATTTCATCTCCCAATTTACCACAGACCTCCGTCATGTCCAAGGTGAGCAGAGTCCGGTGGCCGATGCCCTTTCCCGCGTTTCCTCTGTCATTTCTTCTGACCAGATCAACATAGAAGATATCGCCGTGGCTCAACAAGACGATGCTGAGCTTACACAGTATCGAAGCAAAACTTCTTCTTCGTTGGTATTCGAAAGTTATCCGATACCCGCTTCCGACAAGACTATCATTTGCGAAGTTTCCACTGGCAGGCCACGCCCTTTTATTCCTTCGCCGTTCCGACAAACCATATTTAATGTCCTTCACAACCTTTCTCATCCAGGAATAAAAGCCACTCAACGTTTGATCACCGATCGGTATTTCTGGCCCAACATGAACCGTGATGTACGACAAATGACCCGTACTTGTCTGTCTTGTCAACGCAGCAAGATCCATCGGCACACCTGTGCCCCACTTTCCACTTTTGCAATACCTACTGACCGTTTTTCCCATGTTCATCTCGACATAGTTGGTCCCCTGCCGCCATCAAATGGTTTTACGTATCTACTTACATGCATTGACCGTTTCACTCGTTGGCCTGAAGCCATTCCCATTTCTGACATCACCGCCACCACGGTCGCCACAGCTTTTGTCACCCACTGGATCTCCCGTTTTGGTGTTCCTAAAATTATCACCACCGATCGAGGTGCACAATTTGAAAGCCAACTGTTCTCTCTCTCACGTCTTTTCTTGGGTCAACACGTATACGCACCACCGCTTATCACCCCATCGCTAATGGTCTGGTTGAACGCTTTCATCGTCAACTCAAAGCTTCATTGAAAGCCACCAATGATCCTAACCACTGGAGTGAACGTCTACCTCTTGTCCTCCTTGGCATTCGCACCGCTCTAAAAACTGATCTTGGACACAGTGTTGCTGAACGCGTATACGGCACAACTCTTTGTTTACCAGGTGAATTTTTCCACCATAATACTCGTACCTCACACCTCGATGCTACCTCCTACGTTGATCGTCTTAAACGCACTCTCCGTGATTTACAACCACCTCCAGATCGTCACCCAACAAGACCTCATCACATTCCGATCGATCTTCGCACCACAACACATGTGTTTGTCCGGCGCGATGCAGTCCGAAAACCTTTACAGCCACCGTACGACGGTCCATTCAAAATTCTCTCCCGCTCAGACAAACATTTTAAAGTTGATCTCGGAAATCGCACCGATAACATATTCATAGATCGTCTCAAGCCTGCACATCTTGCTTCTCCCAGTGCTCCTGGACACACCCATACGCAAGAAGCTGCCAAGAAAGACAAAGAGAACTGTCAAACTACAGCACCACAAATAAAACAAACCCGCTCTGGTCGCTGTGTCAGTTTACCTCAACGCTATATTTCCATCGTTTCTCATTAATTTCATTAATTTTGACACTAGCCGGGGGCTCCTGTAGTGACGTACATAACGTGCGTACATCACTCATCTAGATTCGTGTATTAGCAATAGAGGAAATAGCCAATCCTACACTTACTCAAACGCGCTACTTAAACTTACGCACTTAACTTTATAATTACGTAAAACTACTCAAGTTTCAAGTACATTATCCGCTGTGTAATAACTGCACCTTCTTTAACCAAATGTATAAAAAGCCTGTAAATAAATTCTAACGGATAGAACTCTCACGACTGTTGTAAATAACTTCTTCGCTAGTGAATAAAATAATCACAAAATTTAATAGCGTTCTAGTACATTGAACTCACGTTCAGAGCTCATACGAAAGACTTATATATATAACGCTAAAAAAAATTTTTTCTGCCAAAGATTAAGCAAAATTATCAGAGTGAAAATTTGCAGTTAAGGACAGCTTAATGCCATAAATGTTTATTAGGCATTTCACTAGACTATTATCTTCTTCAAGGTGTGCTATATAGCAATCACTAGTGGCATTGTATTATCAAATACAAACAGAATGTAACCAACATGTCTTTAATTATATAATTACATGAATGTTAAAATTGGTTCATGTGTCATGCTTACTGGTTATGATAAATATCTTTTCATATAATCAAAGCTCGTTTAAATGTAAATCTGAAATAATTTAGTTTAAAAATTATAATGATCATCAGAAAAATTACCTAGTGATCATGAAAAATACTTTGCTGTTTTGCCAAATTTCAAAGTTTATCTGCATACATAGGAAGACATTTTTACTTTATAGAAAATGCTTTTCATACATCAATAACCCTTTGGGATTTATGGCAAACAATCTGGTATGAGCCGTAGATTAACACACCTTTACATCTCTACATGAGGTGTTCAGTTAGAAAAGGGGACAATATGTGACATGGGACAACATTTCATGTATGTGAAATACTAAGGTTTAATACCATTCCAGTAAAATTGTCAAAATATAAAGCTTCATGGATCAGAAGACTCAAAATCACAGGTTATAGTAAACAGCTTCTCAAGTAATCAATGTTAGTTTTCTCAAATCTTAAACAATATATAGTATAACTGTCTTATGATTGAATGATCAATGATCATAAACTGAAAAGCCCCAAACATTTGTTTATGATAAAGTAAATAATAGTATGGCGCTTTATGGCTACAAATTTTTTTCCATTGAAATATATTTGCAGGAATGTAGGATTTCGCTGCCATATAACGGTCACGATTCCCCAAGCACTAAAGAAATTATAGCTAAAAGTCCTTCGGCAACAACAATTTTAGAAGCATCAATCTGCTTACCATACGCCATATTAACATAAATCGCATCACACACTCGCATAAATTGACTTTGATATATTACATGCATAAATACACTTCAGTTGTCCTTTACTTACGATTTTGGATGCAAATTTCTGCTGATAAAACTCAAAACAATGTCGGCTTGCTTTTGAACATCAATGACTGAAATGTCGCTCGCGAGATCGTCTTTGCCAAGCATTTACAATTCAACCATAAATTTTCGTCCTCTTGAAAAAATTCCCAGTTTGGACAGCAGCATTCATGTCAATATATGAATTTGTAAAAGATTTCCATAAATTCCATCTGATTGTAGTTTAGTTTCTATCATGCTTTAGAAAATCATTATGAAACGATCAAACATTGAATTCAGACAGTGAGCTTGACTATGTTAGTTCAGTTGGCTATCAGTCGAAATAGGTCAAACCAATCACAGTAAGACAAAAATTCAAATGAACCAATTGTAAGATAGCAAGTGGACTCCCTTATAGGTCCGGCCACCCCGCTTATCGGTCGAGATTATTCCAGATCGTCCACTGATCTG